TTAAAAAGGTAGCAGTGTACTGTAGATATGACCTCATGATCACCAATGCAGACAAACAAAGCGGACGAGAGGATGGTACAGGAAAATAAATTCCCACGTGAATGGAGAGCAAAAAAATGGGTGGCTCAAATTCGAAAGCCGCGCCAACTTGGTTTCTGCAAAGACTGACTAGACCCCAAAGAGCATCGCACCCCATACGTAAGCTGTTTTTTATCATTGTACAAGTCGAACTGAACGCATACTTGGATCGCGCATACATGGACATGAACTGACTGTGCGACTGGGCGATGAATTACGGCAAGTTGCAATTGCTATAGCTATAATTCGAATCCAAGATCACCGCTGGCCGCAAATCAAGCACCAACCCCGACTCAGTCCGTTAATCCAGCCTAGAACGAGGCATAACGTGCGTATTCGGAACATCATAAATACAGCCTGCTGAAACAAAAACGTAGCAATGTTAGCTAGTAAGAAATGTCGGGGAAATGTGGGTTTGTTGCCCACTTATGCTGCGCGTGTGAGCCAACTGGAGAAAACCGACAAAAATCGTAATTTTACTATGGTTCTGGTATTCGATCCTTTCGCATAATGCTCGACCGCATTGAATCTTATCTCACCACGCGGACACCGAACGAACTGGGTTATTAAACTCTTTTCCAACAACTACCCGCACAAGATCTGTAGCCTAAGCACCTGAGGTGATTCGTTCGTAAATGAGCTTTTGGCAGTAACTCGTCAGTTAAAGGTGTCTTCGAAAAAAAGCATACTTCTGAACTCTAGAATTTCTCCGAAGAGGCATGAGCAGGCCTGGATTTCGTTTACAAAAATGTCTTAGTGCATATTTTGATTGAGTACGTTTTGCTCTGGTTCAAATCAACCTCTGTGACACACAAACTCCTTTTCCCTATAGTGCATTTTCTGCGGAGCTGTCTCATAACCAAGAAGACCTGCTTGGAATAGGTGAGGCTTTTCTTCAACGGGCCGTCGATTTTGAGACCCTCTACGTGGAGTTCTGCATCAAACACTCAAAGTAAGATAAATCTGACCTTTTTGCTCTCTTCCAACCATTGGGGATACAGTTTCCCAGAATGCACAAATTTACCTTTTCTGTTGATCGAAATTTCACTTTCATGTGGCTGGTTGACGTTTGCTCGTCCCATTGTTCCTTGGAGCTCAATCCAGAATCCTAGCATACAGTCGCATAACGACTTGTAATATATGATAGAGTGGAGCCGACAAAACTGAGGGAGGTCAGAACGACCCCTTCTGGCTAATTAGCCGTCATCAGCTGGTCAAACCCAATCTCAGGGGGTGGCGACCCCCGAGATTCGAACCCACGACCTTTGGTCATTAAAGGCAACACTCTACCATTGCACCGCGGGTCCGTTGTTTTTAACAGAATTCCATCGAGATGGCTTTGTCGATGGACAATTGGTGACAAAAGCATGCCTACAACAGAAGCCTTTAGAGGACGGCTGTAAAAGTACAAAAGATAGACGTTTTTCGCGTACTTTTTAGTCTCAAGTTTAAGGCCTCCTTGGAAAAACAAAAATTACACCGAATCACCCATACTTTTCTTCTCTATATGCCTTTGGTACCAATCTAATATAGAGCTCACCACGCCCTTAACTTTGCTTAATTGCCTACTTCTTTTTATTAGTAGACTTTTTCTCCCGACCTCCTACTTGCCATTTGTAGTTTGTGCAAAATGTGGCATATTCCTTTAATAAACACTATGTGTCAGTATTAATAGGGTCTTTAACAGCATAACACGAATGGGTTTTCTGCTGTCCCTCTTGACCCAAGTAACTTTGGTTACATTGCTCGCATCCTAGGTCCATTCAGGCTCTGGAGAAGGAGAGTCAGTTGCAGACTGAGCTATGGTCCGACATCCTCACCTGCCAAACTGCGCTGGGACACATATTGCCACTGGCCACGTACTTATTGAAACCGGTGCAACGCGTTCTCAAGTACCAGTTGCTGTTGCAGGTAATTCAACTTCATTTCTATCTCCTAGCCAGTTTCTTCATCAGTAGGGAAGAAGGAAGCTGTTCGATCGCCCGTGCCATTTTTTCGAAATCGTGTAAGAGTACATCATCCATTGGCAACAAAACGAGCACCATTTATAGGGAGTAAGAACTGACCAAACACCAGTAACGCCAATCCTGTGGTGACTGCGCAGGGCTCTGTATGCCGACACCAGATCGATATATCGATTGACTGAGTTTTCGTCAGGGGCACAGGTTTCAATCATTTCGTGGCTTGTCCTGCTTCTGGCGTGAGTAATTATCTTCAGGACCGTAAAGTTTAATTAATGACCCGCTTCGTAGGTGTGGGCGGCCACTTGATATAATCCTTCACCACATTGCACATCCAGCTTATGTTCATGTATGCGCGATCCGAGCCTGCATCCAGTTTGACCGGTGTACTTACAGGGACAGTCTAGGCACGGAACGCGATACACGACCGTACTGCTCACTGAGATTTAATCGGTCCTTGATTTTTATGATCATACCATGCATGATAGCTCTGGGCCGGTGTGCAGTTCCGATACCTAGTCCCGTATTTATCTCTCGTCGCTTCTGACATGTCCTTAATGTACGACAAAACATATCATACCATAAGCACTGTTGCTGGTTGGTTCCTTCGGA